GAAAGGCCTCACATTTCCATTCATCAGGTATTTGTGGTACTTTTATTGTGCTATGACTACGGTGGTAGAAAATACAATGATGCATTTACAGAGCCAATCCTTTCTGGAACAGTCTGTGGCTTCGTGTGGCAAACCTTGGAAGTGTACTTGTGACTTAATGTTTACCCCAATCCCAGGTTTTTATTGCAAACAGGCACTTTGGCAGCAAATCCACAGGAGCATATTGATAGGCCCTCTCTCTCTTGGTCTTTAGTTCCCTTGTTTCCTCAAGGCTCTATTTTGGCTCCCACAGGACATTTAATAGAGTAAGATCTCTAGATAATCAATGCTTCATGTGTATTGGGCTTTACAAAGAACATACCCAGCCTAGTCTCTTCTGATTCTCATTATAAATTATGTGATATAGGAAGGACACTTGTTATCCCATTTTACAGATAAATGGAATTCAGTAAGTAAGTGTCTGTGAGCAGTTACTTCCACATTTTGTGGAAGAGCTGTGATGAAAAGCCAGGTCTTCCAATGCCTGGTTCAGCATCCTGCCCCCATCATTTCTCCATTTGCATAGCTCTCAGTGAGTCAGGAGTAGGTTTTCCTTACCAATAGTCTATTTCTCAGCTCTGGAAGGAAGTCAATACAGGGAGAACAGCATTTGGGGCTTTATCTGCATTGTCTGCATAATTTCCTTAAGGAGGGATGGGAGCATTTATCCCCCCTCTCCTCAGAATGTCTCTATTGCTTGTAACTATCCCTAAAGGAAATTAGCAGAAGACCATAAGAACAGAGTTAAACTGGCTTTCAGAGAAGGCCCACATCCCCAGGACCTTAAACAAGATCAGACTGGTTCGAAAGAAGTATGAACATTTAAGCATCATCATGCCTTTAATAAGTAATATCTTATTAAATCCTCAAAATAACCCTTAGAAGTAGGTACTTTTCCCTTCAGGTTAAGACAGAAGTGAGTGGTAGCCTTGGTTCAATCCTAGAACAATCCAGTATCAATGCCCAGATTTTCTTCTTTTAGACCTTGTTTAGGCTCTAAAGAAACGCTTCGGTTAGTATTGGAGACAGGTCTAGGATTGGGAGGAAGAATTACTGAGATCTTAGGATTGGTTTTGGTTAGAGCACGGTTTTTGTCGGATAATTTTTGTGTGTGATAGAGGCCGTCCTGTGCATTTTACATGCTTAGACGTGTCCCTGGCCTCTAGTCACTAGTTGCCAGTAGCACCAGTTGTGAAGACCAAAAATGGGATCTTCAGATATTGTCCAATATTTTCTGGATCCTGGGGGTGAGGGGCAGGGAATTACTCCTCATAATGAACATTGAATTAGAGGGATGCCGAATGGTTTCCAATAAGCAACTCTTTTAGTTTACTTGACCAGGGAAATGGGAACCAGTGTAAGAATATCAGGCAAATAATGGCACTGGCAAATAGAAATGATCTAAACTGCAACTTGGATGCATACAGATTTTCCTGAGAGGTAACTATTACTAAACACTTTATACATAAAGACGATATAAAGCAAATAGAATATTTCAAATTACATAAAGTCACAAAAGTGACTCACCTGAGTTTTTGATTTCTCTTCGACTGCTGTGAGGTACCCTGTAACCATAAACTGTTAAGAAGACGAGAGACAAAAGTTAACAGGTGATGTACTTGACCACCTTGCAATATAATTTCCCTTGGATTCACAAACTATCTGTTTGCAAATCTCCAAGACCATCCAGTTTTTCCACCTGAGCATCAGGGAGTAGCGAGGGTCAGCATAGATAGGGTAGGTTGGAAGAAACATTGTGCTGGGTTTGCTCAGCACTGAACAAGCGCTCTCTGCCAGGGTCAACTGGGACAAGCAGGCCCTTCTAAGATCCAGAGGAGATGGCTCAGATGTTGGGTCCAGCTGGGGCTCCAAAAACAGATTTCCTAAGCTCTGGGCCTTGAAGAGAAGAGGAGGAACTGTGCCTGTTCTGAGCAGGTGGAGGGAGACTTTCTCAGGGAGGATCCCCCTGAAGGCTGATAATGGGGGCTTATATCTAGTGTGGTTATAACAGTCACTCATTTCCCATAAGTGTAGAGCCTAGTGCCACCTCAGGAAAAGGAGAACTCTGTCACTGCATGCGGAGCCCCTTCCTTTTTTAATGTTCTGAGGATGGGAACCTCCTCTGTGGGAACTGGCGTTGGACCTTGGGAACATCTGGGTCTTGTGGTCCAAGGATCTGCAGCTGACTTGCAGAGATCAGAAAGATACCTTTGATACCTCCCTCCACTTGATTCCCCACACTGGACTGCCAAGTCCTATCAACTCTACCTCCAAGTCACTCAGGCTCTCCATCTCTAGCTCCATTGCCGCCAAGCTAGTTCAGGGAAACTCTTTCCTCTTCGGCATGATTGCAGCCTCCTCTCATTGGATTCCTCTAGGATTGCTGTTATCATTGAATTTTCTCACTCAAAAAACACAATCATACTTCAACCAGTCTTCAAATGTCACTATCCTCTTTATAAATTTTCAGTGGATTTCCCATGCTTTCACACTGAAGTTCCATGTTCTTCATATGACAATAGGAGTTGGCATGACCTGGGTACAGTCTACCTTTATAGCCTCATTTTATGCCATCATGATAGACTCATTGGTCTTCTTTTGGTTACTCTTTCCCACACCAAGCCCTTGACTCATGCTTTATCTTTGCCAGGGAATGCCTTCCTTCCATTTTGCCCAGTGAGCCACTATGTGCAAAGCACTTTCCTGACCTCTGAAGTCAGGTGAGTCCTCTATGAAACCCTCACATGGCACCTGCAATTCTTCTCTTAGAGTGCTTATTACAAGTGTAGGGACAAGTATTTGGGGTTACTTTTGACTTTTTCATGTCTAGTCTCCCAGTTAAATGACAAACTGTCTAAATCTAAAAACAATTTACCACTTCAATCAGAGAGGGACTGTTTTCCTCAGTCTCAGTCTCAGCACCTAGGATGCTATTGAAGACATGGTATGTGCTCAGTAAATATCTTTAAAGTGAAAAGTAGAGTTTCAAAAACAGCAGGCCAGAACTTCATTTTAATTCCCACATGCAGATTACACAGTCACACTGGGAAAATTCTGTTGTAATACGAGAAAGTGAGGGGTTGGTCTGTTTGATATTCTACAGTATGGCATATATAGTTTGAAAATCATATTGAATACTATATTATTTATATTGGGAAAATGAAAACTCTGCTGGTTGTTTCTGAAATGCACATTATAGAAAAGGCATGAAGTATTTCTGATTATCAAAAGAAACTGGATTTTTAATAGTCAGTGATAGTGGTCTAATTTATTCATTATTTTACCTATTTGTTCATTGATTGGTTGATTCATTCATTCATTCATGCATACTATGCCTCAAGCGTGATTCTAGGTTTTCAGAATATAACAACTAAAACAGACAGTGATATTGCTGTCTTCTCAGGAGTTTATGTTAGGAGAAGCTCTAGTGAGTCTGCGCTTGAATATTATGGCAAAAAATTAGGAATCCAAGCTGTGGGGACTAGATAGAAAGAGCACTGACTAAGAATAGTATTTATGGATACATCACTACCTAGATGAGTGACACTCATAAAATTGTGTCTGGGGCTAAGAAGGAGGATGAGTGATAATCATCTTAAAATTCTCCTTAAGGTTTCAGCGTCTGTGATTGCATGAACACTAGCTACATGTGTTTAAGTTATTCTCAACTTTTGAGCTCAGCTTCCTTATGTGCAAAGGAGAAAGTATGATATTTGCCCATCTTGTCTCCCACGTTGGTAATGAGAAGCAAATGTCTTACTATACACACAATGGTTTTGGAAACTTTTAAGCACCCAAGAGTAGTTATTACAATACTGATGGTAGTGCAATGACCGAACGGAGTTGCTTCTTTTGCCTTGAAGTGAACTGCCATTTTTGGTCTCCTGGAGGGCCATATTTATAGAATTCATTACCCTAGGACATGAGCCAGTTCAAATCTGTCATTATAGCAATTTCTCAAAAGCTTCTAATCGACAGTACTCACAATAAGTGCTCCCCAAAATGGATATCCTGAGAGGAGAACAAGGGGAAGTCTTTGGGAGAAATGGATGTAATTAAGAACAAATATTGTTCCAAGGCCCACAATGATTAGAGCAAGGAGGATCTGGGTAGCCTGTGAGAAGAGAAATGAGTACATGAGGTTACCAGTATCCAAGCATCTTTGGGCCACCCCAGGTCCCTGAGGGTTTGCCTCCATGGCAGACTTTTCAATCTATCCAAATGCCTTCCTTTCACATTTGTCAATCATTCTCAGATTAAGAGACTCAGTTCAATGTGTTACCTTCCCCACTTTGCTTGCCTGGATCCTTCAGGTTCAAATCCTTCACTCTTATTCTTTATTATTTTCTGTCTTCCCTGGTGTTACCAATTAATCTTATATTGGACATATTTTGAGTACATGTCTGACTATCCCCAGATTATAAGCTTCTTGAGTACAGGGACTACAAAGTATTCACCTTTGTGTTTTTTCCCTTCTGTCTCTCCAGTATTCCATTATTATCCTAACAACCCCTACCCCCGCATTTTCCAGCACTCAGTATAGGCTTTTGGAATTGGGGCTCATCCCAGTTGTCTAAAAGTTTAAAATGTTTGCTGACTTATTGTGGAGAACCTGAGATGAGCTTGCATTTCACCTCCTCTTCATCCAAGGACCCAGGTAGGGATGAGAATGACCTGGTGGGCCTATCAGCTTGTAGGAGTCATAGGGAAAAGAACAGCAGCAGCGGCTCTTCTCAGGGCAAAATTTCTCTGTCAGTCTAGGTTTTGTCCCCAGGCCACATCTCTGGGCCATGACACCCCAAGTAATGATTTTTGCTGTTGTACAAAGTATGGGGGTTGTGCATACAGCTCTCCCCTGGGTGCATTAATGATGAAAAACATTTTGTATGTCTTATCATTTGGTTCACAATGAAGCTTTCAGTATGGTTTTTGAAGCACTCCCAATTCCTTTAAGAGCACAAAGTGGAAGTCAAACCTCTCCACTTATGGTTTTTTACCTTCATGGGAGGTGCCACCATACTCTGAGTTGACTTCCTCAGTGAGATATTTCAAAAAGTTATACTAGTTTATTGCTTCCCCTCTGTTGGGATTCAAAGATCAGTACTAATTCCTCATGAAAGGTGAAGGGGGAAAAGTAGAATTAACTCCCTCCCTGAAAATCACTGGACAGAGGTATCTCTGCAGACATATATGAATAAATAAACTTCTTTTCTCCCCTTTGGGAGGTCCATTGATTGGAGAGGACTTACCCCCAACACTCTTGGCTCTCCTTTTAGAAAGTCCAGCAGAGAGCTGTGAGGTCTGTAGGGAAATGCAGTCAATACAGTTTCATTTGGTTGTATAGTGATGACATGAGTTGCCTTTTTGTCCTGGGATGTTGACTCCATGATTCAATGGCAGAACTCTAGTAAAAGAAAGAGTGAGCGAACATTGCAGCCCAAATCATGGTCTGCCTCACCACCAGAGTGACATGGAGCCCTTGGAAATGAGCCCTTAGTGATCACTCTACTTAGTAGTAGAACCACAGAATCAGAGTTGAGTCACAAAGTTTTAGAATTCTAGAGCATGCCCAGCCCTCCATCTTCCTGGTGAAAAGTACCATATCCAGAAGACTTACTCTCTTGTGAAATTGGTTGCAAACATATGGTAAACACAAAATAGATGGTATATACAAAACCAGTCCTTACACATATGTTCATAGTTATAAAGAAACTAAAAGTTATGGGATATCCCTATGTGATGGGAACTGTAGAAGGTGTTTTGTTTGTTTTGACATGCACTAACATTTATTCCTTTAACAGTTCTACAATGCTGAAAGTGAGGAACAGCAAGTTTATGTCCCCCAAAGACATACGGGACAGGGGAGGGGGCAAACTCAACTTGACCTGTCTGCAAAATCTATGTCTTTTAAACTCAATCATGCGCTGCCCTCCTTCGAAAGGAGTTTCTCACCTTTACTTGATGAATTTTCCAACTTACTGTTAAACCATATTCCTTTGTATTACAAAAATCAGCAGTTAACTTTGAATCTCTATTTTTCCATCTTTTTTGAAGTATATTTGACAAATAAAAATTATATATATTTGGGGGTACTACATGTTTTGATATACATAAACACTCCAAAATGATTACCACAATCCAGCTAATTAACATATCCATCACCTCACATGGTTATTTTTTTCTGTTTTTGTAGTAAGAACATTTAACAATTCTTTGCATTTTCAAATTAAAAAAAAAATCAGTAGTAAAGGTGCTATAGGACCAGATGTAGTTGCCGCTTTATAATAGAGAATATTTTAGCTTTCAGAAAGATAAGCAAAACTAATTATAGTCAAATCCTTCCTGATTTGAACTGCACAAATACTAATTAAAACAACAAAAACTGCCTTTAGGAATCTTGCTTTCCATATTGATCCTTTACATTCCTAAATTCATTATAATTTCAACTATGAGATCATGAAGGTAAATTGTTTCATAAAACTAAAACCAGTGTATACAAATAATAACTTGAGTATTTCCTGGTTTGCAGCAACCGTGGATAGCAGGTGTCTCAAAATTATCACTGATGTCATTTGAACTCAATAATTCTTTGTTGTAGAAAGTTATATATAATTTTAAACTCCGCTACTCTTCAAGTTTATTTAGGAAACCTCATATGCATAGAGAGTGCAAAGTTAAACTGCAGCCACACTGGAATTTCCATAATTGCCCAAGAAATCGAGTTCAATGCAGAGGCCCACACAGAACATATTACACAAAGAACAGAGAAGATAATTGCAGCAATGACTGGGAAGAAAGAATATGCCCATGTGGTACAAAGTGCAGGGGAGATGATCTGAATTACAAAATTGTGCTATAGATCAAAATAGACTTAATACCCAAGCAAACAGACATTATTACATTATTCTTTTCAGCGTGAGCAACATTTGGCTCCAAGCTAGAAGCAGAAAACATGCCACTCAGAGATGGATTATCTGTAACTTATTAAGAAGACTAAGATGTCTTCATTGACTCCTACCCTGAAATTACAGAAGAGAACATAGTTTATGTGCCAACGACTAAATATTATTTTTATTTTATTTATTTATTTAAAATAAATAAATCCAAGACTATATGTAGTCTATTTTTATTTATTTATTTTATTTATTTTGAGCAATGGAGTTGCATTCTTATCACCCAGCCTGGAGTGCAATGACACAGTCTTCGCTCACGGCAAACTCCACCTCCCAGTTTAAAGTGATTCTTCTGCCTCAGCCTCCTGAGTAGGTAGAACTACAGATGCATACCACAACGCCCAGCTAATTTTTTTTTTTTTTTTTGCATTTTTGGAGAGATTGGGCTTCACCATGTTGGTCAGACTGGTCTCGAACTCCCGACCTCAGGTGATCCACCCGCTTGGGCCTCCCAAAGTGCTGGGATTACAGGCATGAGCCACTATGCCTGGCCAAGAAGGCTGTTTTTAAACAATAAAACGCGCACCACTGGTTGGCAGCATGGGTTTGAAGAGATCTGGATTCACATGGTAAGATTTATGGGAGGCAGGGACATGGTTGCTATGTGTTCAGAGGTAATCCTGAGCACTTGAGAAACTCTTTGCTACCTTTCACCTAATGGCTCATGAAAAAGGGGCCCAGCAGATCTGTTTTTCAGAGAGTGGCCAGGGCAGAGTAGTTTATGTATAGCCTTTAATTTGTAATTAAAGTATTCTTACAATCCCTAATACGAAACATTTAAGCAATATGAGTATGAAAATAATATAGAAACAGCATGCAGAGTCACATGACTTAGCAAGTTCACCCTAGCATGACTGCATATTTTCTCTTCTTTGTATCACCTTCTGTTCAGTTTGCTGAAAGAAGTTTATAAAGTTTATGACCCTTTTTGGAAGACCTGCTAATAAAACTTGGGCTTTGAGGAAATTATTTTCAAGAGAAATTAAATGATGACTCATAGTAAACAAACACAAAACAGAAGTTTTTTTTATTGAAAAAATTTATTTCGCAGTGTCTAAAATGGTGGAGATTTCAGGAAAGTCTAATCACACTTGACCGTGAATTCTGGGTTACTTTTCCTTTATCCTCTGAGGCCAAGAGTTTCTTACATCCAAAACCTTGAACTCTTTTTGTCCCGTTGAATATGATCTTGTGACTGGGTCAAGAAGAATGAATGCTAGAAAATATGTAATTGGTTAGAGTTTTTAAACTTTGATTTTGGAGATTAAAAAACATAATACATTTTCCCCAAATGTTATATAGTAGTAGTTCTTCCAACTTTGCCATAAATGTAATTGTAGCAATATTAGTTAAAAATAATGCCATTCTCCAGTCTGCTAATTATTTTACTATTTTTAAATAGGATCATAGTTAAATCATAATTCATCCAAATTCTATAAACATTTCTTTTTTTTGCTATAGCTTTTGGGGGAAATGAAAATATTTTAAAATTATAACATCAAGAGCTAAGGGGATGTAAGGAAGAGCACAGGAAAGCATAAACAGGACAGAGACTTTCTAGTAAAGTCTCATCACATTAGCAAGGAAACTTGGCTAGGGAGACTCTCCCGGGAGGCAGGTGGCTGTGTTCATGGTAAACGTGAGGGGAGACACGTTCTCATTCTCAGCCCAATAGTCTGTATCATTCATTTTCTATGTCTTTGTTCTTTCATGAGCAGTTTGGCTATGTGATTTCTAAAGCCAACTAGCTTCATATTAACCAATTCTCTACCTGGTCAGCTTCCCAGTAGACATCAGCTGATCCCAGATGACCAGAGCGTCCTCAGGAAGGAGACCGTTTATTTAAACACATTTTTTAAATTATGAAAGCTGCTTTCTACATGCACCTCATGAACAATAATTGATTCTTCTTTTCGCCACTTTTTTGGGCCTGGATTATTGTTGCCTGGCTCTGGAACACAGCAGGTATGATGTGACATGTCAGCATACTCACCCCAGGGTTGTTGGAGTAGAGCTGTTTCCACCAAAAGACAGAACTGTATGCAGCTAATAAGAGCTCCAGCACAGTGAAGATGAGCATCACCACTAGGACACCCTGCAAATCAGGACATGAATGGTTGGTACCCAACACAAGCTAGCCCTTGTGCCTGACTGAGAAGAGGCAGGGCAATAAGCCTCCAGCAATGCAGAGAAAAGGGGACAGGGAAAATTGCTGAATCCTCTTTTCTGCTTTCTCCTTCAGATTTCTTAATAGAAGAAGGGAAATTAGCAGCAACTGTATCATCTCAGAACTTTGGTATCCCACCTAATGACAGAGGAGAGTAATCTGCCACTTATCTCTGGTTGCTTTTATTATTTTCTTTTTGACTATGGTGCTTTTTATTGTCATGGTGATATTTCTAGGTGTGTGTTTGCTTCTGTGTATCCTGAAGTGGTCTCCATGCATTCCTTCAGTCTGAAATCTCATGTTTTTATTAAATTCTAAAAAATTTCTAGTTATTTACTTTTGCATACGTTCGCTCTTCCATAATCTCTTACTGGGACTCATATTAGATATGTGTTGAACCTCTCCACTTCTCTGTATCCATCATGCCTTTTAAGCTTTCATCCATCTTTTCAAAACGCACATAATGTGTTGTGTTCTGTGTGATTTAATCAAATCTAAATTCCATTTCACTGTTTCCTTGAATGTATTGAATCTGCTGTTTAACTGATCTGCTCAGTTTTTAATTTCAAAGACAATTTTCATTTCTGATTATATGATTTCTTTTCTCAAATGCACATATCTTTTTTTAATGTCCTTTTTTTTTCATTTTGATATCTATTTTTTTAAATTTTTTATTTTTTTGAGACAGGGTCTCATTCAGTCACCTAGGCTGGAGCGCAATGGTGTGGCCTCGGCTCACTGCCACCTCCGCCTCCCCAGTTCAAGTGATTCCCCTGCCTCAGCCACCCAAGTAGCTGGGTTTACAGGCACATACCACCACTCCCAACTAATTTTTGTGTTTTTAGTAGAGAATGCATCTCACCATGTTGGCCAGGCTGGTCTCAAACTCCTGATCTCAGGTGATCTGCCTGCCTCAGCCTCCCAATGTGCTGGGATTACAAGTGTGAGTCACCATGCCTGGCCTGGTTTATATTACTTTTTAAACATTTTTAATGATTTAAAATGTATTTTCATAATAGCCTTGTTCAAATTATTGTATTCTCAATTCTTGAGCTTCTAATTTTCATGTTTCCTCATTTGCTGCTGCTTCCCATGTTTTTGTGTGTGTGTGTGTGTGTTCTGTTATGCTTCTCATAATATTTTGGTTATTGGATAACTTCAGTGTGTAGATGGTGGTAGTGGTAGGGTTCTTTGATAGGTAGGCATTGTATAAGTTGGGTTTATGGACATCTCCTTAGATAGTAATTTTAGATTTGATTCTGCTAGAACCTTAGATCATGTATCTTGTAGCAGTTTTTAACTTTATCCTTTTATTTCAGGTTCCCCTATGTAATTATGAATTTGGATGGCATGCTTGCACAAAGCTTAGTGAGCTGATGGAAGGTTTTCTTGAAATTCCTTGGGATGTTGGGCAGAATTTGCTTTATATTATTTTCACAAATTGAGAAAATATTTCGTCTCAGCTTTCAACATTTTTGCAGAGTACTCAATATGAGCTTTATAGTCCTGCCAAATGTCGGATCTCGTCATGGGTGTTAAAAGTCAATGATCCTAGCCTCTAACACATATTCCTATCCAGACTTCCCTGGTTTTTTGGCCTCAGCTCTTGTTTGATGATTTGGCTTTAGAATCCTTAGCTTCTGGAACCTAAGACATCTTTCTTCTTCGATTTGTTCTTCCTTCTGCCCTCCTTCCTTTCTTCTTCTAACCTTGGCTATAAATTTTTTAACTTTTAAAATTTGTTACTTTTGTTCAGGTAATTCCTGTGTTAATTAACAGAGTAAGCCTTTGGAATCTGCTTAGTCTGGCATGTTCCAACTTCTCTGATGTTGTAGGAAGCTCTTTTAGACTCCAGTAGTCAGAGAATTGGAGGCAGTTTGAGGTAATGAAATTTGTTTTCAAATTAAACCCCCAATATGCCTCTCCCACCCCCATTTCTTTAGCCAATGTCTGTCCTGCACCAGGATTACACTATCTGCTGTGCTTCCTCCAGGTGGGTCTCTGTGTTCTTCCACTTCCTCTAGCTCCTGAACCAAAGGGGTTGCTTTTGACAATCTCAGGGTCACATGGGCAGACCCACAGGAATGCAAACGCTTGCACACCTTTTCTGAGATTTGCGAGACAGATGGATCCAAGGGAATGAGAGATACTACCTTGGGCTCCCCATGCTCTTACTACAAGAATTCATAAAGGAAGAAGTCTTTTTTTTTTTTTTTTTTTTGAGATAGAGTTTCACTCTTGTTGCCCAGGCTGGGAGGCAATGGTGCATGATAATCTCAGCTCACCGCAACCTCCACTTCCTGGGTTCAAGTGATTCTCCTGCCTCAGCCTCCCGAGTAGCTGGGATTATAGGCATGTGCTACCACGCTCGACTAATTTTGTATTTTTAGTAGAGACAGGGTTTCTCCATGTTGGTCAAGCTGGTCTTAAACTCCTGACCTCAGGTGATCTGCCTGCCTCAGCCTCCCAAAGTGCTGGGATTATAGGTGTGAGCCATGGTGCCCAGCCACATCTTTCCTCTTAAAAGGCCACAGGTTTACGCTTTTAGCACCATGACCCTACATTTATAGGATGGAATAAGCAAGGCTTGTCACCATGAACAGGTAGTGATCATCAAGTTTGGGAGAAAGGTGCCAAGAAAATGCTGCCCAGAGAGATTGACATTTTTTCTAGAAGTCAAATCCATGACAGGCTTTCTCCCTTCCCACCGCACTCTGTCAGCCCTGTTGGACCAAAGTACAAAATAATTATGTATTTGGGCTTAAGAGTCATGTTCTATGCCTAACATAATGTAGCATACAGGCTTGCATTTGAAGGTTAAATTGAACACTGTACAGCCTCTGCTAGTCCTCAATTCACTGATGATCAGAAGACAAGCATCTTTAAGGGATAGGGGCATCCAACCCCTAGAAAAGAGCCCAAAAGAGATAATCTCAGATTAAAATAAAATTCAAATGAAGAATATTTCTGCCTGTGATGAGTAGGGAGAAGCCCATTCAACAAAGGTTGCACTTTAAGAGTCAAACTCATCGAGGTTGGAATGTTTGTAATAAGAAAAACCAGAAGAGTGATAGTCTCCCTGTTGTCCTTGATTTCCTCTTCTGACTTTGTCTGGTACACCCCCCACACCATGCAGTCTGCAGACAGGCCTCTTCCAACCACAAGTGTTTGTTTATTTCCGTCTGTCTCCAGGCATTTGGACCAACAGGACCAGAGACTGCCAGAAAAACAGAGGTTATGCAGAGGGAAGACACTGAGATTTCACACGACAGGATATTCAATCTGAAGCTACTCACTGTTAAACTGACACTGGTCAGGACACAATCTCTGATTTCATATATTGGATAATAGTACTCCGAATAAGGCAGTGAGGATAGATACTCCTTTTCTGAGCCACAATGTTGAGAGGCAGTCCTCAGGGCTACCACACTGTCAGCAAGGAGGAGGAGGCCAGCTCCTGCAGTAACAGAACTCACTGCATTTGAAGTTAGGCTGCTCAGGTCCTGGAAGAGAAACTCTGCATTGGGTTCTCGTCACAGAATCAGCAACCGATGCTGTTAGCCCTCTGTCCATTGTACTGCAATGGTGCTTCCTTGGGTCTGTTTCCTTCCTGTTTCCTTGTGTGGACACAAACTGTGTTTTATTCATCTTTGTGTCTCTTGTCACTATTTAGTTAATCATATGATATAATTACTAAATGCTTGTAGTATAAGAAAATGCATGGAAAAGTCCTCCTTAGGGAGAAGGGTTCTGGCCCCTTGACTCTCTGTAGCACTCAAGATAGAGACAGTGCTGCTGTGGTCACTGCCAACGTCTCCTGTGACTTCCTCAGCAGCCTTAGAATCATTCTGTTTCCTTAAAGGCTTCCAGAATACGGATTTTGGTTCCCTCTGGTAAACCGAATCTGTGAATTTGATTTACATAAAAGAGCAGCTTCAAAAAAAGGTGGAGGCAAACTGGAAAAGTTGGAAAACATATCTATAGTTCTATGAGAACATAAAATATACTTTCAATTGACAAGCAATGTTTGTTCAATATGACAAGCATATGCCTTCGATTTTCCCAAGTGACGGCATGAGACAGAGGCACATGGGATTAGACCCTATGCTTCTCTCTCCAGCCATTCACAAACAGAAATATTATCAGACCATAGCCACTTTTCCCACAAACCTTGGAGGGAGAAAGGGAGGAAGAAGCTATAAAGCCTTTGCTTCTCTCCATGACAACCGTTCTCTCTTCCCTGCCACACACCTACAGAGGTGATTTAAGGAAAAGCCACATCCTGATTCAAGAAGATACGGGGCCGGGCACGGTGGCTCAAGCCTGTAATCCCAGCACTTTGGGAGGCCGAGGCGGGTGGATCACGAGGTCAAGAGATCGAGACCATCCTGGTCAACGTGGTGAAACCCCGTCTCTACTAAAAATACAAAAAATCAGCTGGGCATGGTGGCGCGTGCCTGTAATCCCAGCTACTCAGGAGGTTGAGGCAGGAGAATTGCCTGAGCCCAGGAGGCGGAGGTTGCGGTGATCCGAGATCGCGCCATTGCACTCCAGCCTGGGTAACATGAGTGAAACTCCGTCTCCAAAAAAAAAAAAAAAAAGAAGATACGGGTCTGACTAGCCACAGATGAGGACACATGGATGATGTATGAGGCTGGTATATGCTCCTGATGATTGAAGCTGCAGTCTAGAACCCAGGAGTAGGGAAGAGAGTTTTGAAGAGTTCACAGCATTCATTGGTTGGAGTAAGAGTTCTGGACTTAGAATCCGAAAACCTCTACTCTTATCCTAGCTCTGTCACCGACTCATCTGTGTGCTTCAGCAAGTCCTTCTTACTCTGGGCTTCGGTTGTCTCATTTATAAAATGTGAAAGATGAATCGTCTGATCTCAGAAGTGGCTTCCCAAATGCGCTGAATAGACAGAAAGGGAAATCTATGCTTGGACTTGACTCCACGTGTGGGACAGAGAACAACATGTGAGCTCCATTGCTCATATGGTAGCTTTGGGCAAAGATACTGCCCATTGGGACTAGTTTTCCTTTTATCCGCTGGAGACTCAGTGCATGAATTTATGTAGCTACAGAGCTGGAGTAGAAAAGGGCAAGACAAGCATCCTCCCCAGCACACATTCTCTTCCAATGATGCTTAAACAGAGAAGAGCATGTGTGTCTTTGCTGATGCATCATCGTGCTATGGGAAAATCCTTTCTCCCAAATTGTAGAAGAGGATTCGGGAAATGGTGTGGTGAATGTGGTTCTCTTAGGCCTGATCCACCTGTAGGTCGGTATTCCAACTTCTCCAGTTTGCTTCTGTCTTTTCTCTGAGCTGCTCCTTTAAGTAAGAAGCCATAAATTGGGTTTCTAAGGAGGGGCCAAAGGTCATATTTTAGAAGCACTTAGGGCAATATATAATTCTAAAGTGGTTGAGGAAGCCAAGGGGATGTTGGCAGTGGCATGAGTGGTATTGTCTTTGTGTTTGGTGCTGCAATCAGTGCTGACATTACAGAAATTCCCCTCACCCCCACTCCATCACCCACATTCTCTGCCACCTTACTTTGAAGTGATATTTTTCTCGGACATCCAATTATCAAGAATTGGTTTTTGGATGGAAATAGTTTCCTCCAGCCTAGAAAAAGATGACAACACCCTCTTCTAACAGAGGAATGAATGCCTCCCTACCTGATATTTGACTGGATGAGGCTTATTTCAGTTGCTTAAGTAGTAGAAATTTGAAAATATATCATGGACTTCTTTCAACTTGTTACCATGGCCATTGAGTAGGGTAAACCAGCTATCCTGGTTTGCCTGGGGAGTAAGGAGTTTCCCAGGATATAGGCTATATGATCTAGGAGGCAAGAAATTTGGGCTCTACTCTTGGTTCTACCAATGGAACAGCCAGGAGAACCTAGGCTTCCCTATTATAAGCTTTGTCTCCCTAAACTGTAAAATAGGAATTTTGAACTAAAAGAATTAACTCTGACATTCCTTCAATTCCAACCAGCTGAGATTTGATGGTCCTTATACTTACAAAGGGCTTAGTCGATTGCTTTCCAGAGATAATTGAGAGGGATCCAGTAACGCCAAACTGCTCAGAAAAGAGAGAAAGGATCAGTTCAGTCATCTTGTGGAAATGTGCCCACCATGTCACTATCAATCACTCCATCAAAAAGTGCTGTTGGAAAATTTTTAGAGAGAGAACACTGCAGAAATTGTGTGGGTCCACATTTCTAGAAAGGCCTAGTTCCCACCTGATGTAAGAATGTCTATATCAACTTCTAATGACATGCAGATACACAGAGGGGTTGGATTTGTTTTAGTGGAAATCACTAGGAACTAAGGAGTCCTGGAGAAAAGGTGTACATGGGAATGAGAAGAGTGTTACTACATTACAGGGTTGAAAGAGAGGAGGTTGAGATAGACCAATGACTCAGGTGGATAAAGAGATGGGAACAACCCACAGAAGCATTCAGGAAAGAGGCTTTGATGGGACGAGGTATGGAAACACATGGACTGGAAGTTATTGGTGTATGTTGCTTGACTCAGAACGGGAGTTGAGGAAAGTGGGAAGAATAGGCCCTGACGTGAAGTCTTTATCATAAAGCCCCAAAAGTCCGTATTTAATCCCAGTGGTATTAAAGATCCAGTTGGCAGAGGAAAGGTATTCTGAGAAGCTGAAAAGTTGCTTGACTGTGTGGCCTGGATATTGAATAGTCACAGGCAAAGAGGGTCCAGTATGAGCTAACACTGCCTTCTCTAAGGAGATGTGGGCCCCACTGGTTATAGGGAGAAGTCAAGGACAAATTGTGCTCTGGGGCGGGAGCAGGGCCTCCTTACATGACTGCACAGTTTGTGTGCACACAGGAACTATATCCACACAGATGTGGTACCTTAGTATATGTCATCTGCCCAGAATGTTTGCTTTTTCTCCTTTGTATAAAATACTATGTAGAGAAGAAATAACCATTTGTGGGAAGTGTGAGCTTGCCCTGGCCACTCTCTGCAAAATAGATCTACTAGGCCCTTTTTCATGAGCCATTAGGTGGAAGGCAGCAAAGAGAGTTTCTCAAGTGCTCAGGATTACCTCTGAACACATAGCAAGCATGTTCCTGCCTCCCATGAATCCTACCCTTGTGAATCCAAATCTCTGCAAACCTGTGGCATCAACCAGTGGTGCTCAATTTATTGTTTAAAAACGGCCTTTTCACTCTCTATCTGAAAAGTTAATTATTCTCACAATGGAGGGAATCCAATGGCCTCATCAAAGCCCCAAAGAGGGATATGAAAAAGCATCCACCTTTCCAGAGGTATGCTATAATGCCAGGTAAAAAATGCTGTGCTGGTATACCCATTGTATTACCATTTCCTCTTGCCCCCTGCCCTGCAGGAAGACAGACTAAGTCTCTCTGCTGCTCTTCTTGAATAGGGGAAACATGGAGTGGGGCAATGATAGAAGGAAAGATGAGGCCTTACATTCTTTTGCCTCCTGGCCTCTTGGAGTCTGAGTCACTCATGACTATGCACCCGGTTAGCATTTATAAAGCATTAGAGACCCCCATTCTACTCACACACAGAGCTCCTAAAAATGGGTACCCAGACATCAAAGTGGTGGAAATTTCTGAATTGAAGTGGGAAGGGTAGGGAGCAAAAACCAAGATGACCCCCAAACTTGATATCATCAGGCAACACGGGATCTGGACAATCTACAAGAGAGAAGACAGGAAATCTAGAATACACTTCAAACAGATGAAAGTGATTATTTGAATGCACATTGTGAAGTATAAAGAGTATTAAAATACATTATAATTTGTCATATTAAAGAGGAAAAAATGTTACAAGGAGCCGATAGAAATGTTTCTAGAGGAAGTCATACATAACCAATCTCTTCTGATAGGATTATTAAACTAGCAAATTGGGAAGTGATCATGTGCACATTTTAACTTTGTTTGAAAAAGATACTTGACAGTTTTTAAATGTATTTCCTTGAAAAGTAGATTTAAAAAGTTGTCCAGTGAGGTGGAAATAGCCAACTTTTCATAGGAGTGTTAATGAAACACTTTTTCAGTTGAAATTAGACAGAGCAGGTCATCTATTCTACTGTAATTCATCTTATTTTGTTCATCATTGGATTTTAATAATAATTATTTCACAAGTGGAAGAACTGGAGTTTTGGCTGTTAGCTTGGTCCAAAGCCCATGCTTTTTTTCATAATTTAATGCATGTGCAATTGAAAGATGATGCAAACATAGGAAAAATAAAAAAGTCAACCATTCATATTGTCAGTAGTTATTGAATAACCTGTTGTGTGCAGGCTCCAGGGAATGAAACAAATGAAAATCGCTACCATTGGAGAGCTTATATGTACTATGTCCTTTACATACAATTTCCATGGGAGGCAGAATAGAATTAAGAGCAAAGTAGCAGGACATGAGGCCTGTGAAGTACGGGAGGCATGGGGCAAACTATGTAGGGATTTTTAGGCTCTGTTTTACCAACTTTTCTTTTCATTTTGAGCAAAAAAAGGAATCCCACTAGATAATTTGGGGCCAGAAGAATATATGGTCTAACTTTCATTTGTAAAAGATTACCGGCTATACTAAGAATAGTTAAGAAACAGGGAAGGCAGATCCATCTAAAACTGGGAGTGAACAGGAGGTGGGTATTATAAGAGGGTATTCAAAACCATATAGAGATTAAAGTTCTGGATTTGAGGGACGATGATCTGGGACACTTGGAAGTCTTAGAGTTACTCATATGAACAGGGAGAAAATAGGTCATGAGATTAGTCTTCATTATCTCATCTCAAAATATTTGAAAAATGAGCTCAAAGTTAAGAATATGTAATTTAATCATATTGAGTAAAATCCATATGGTTAAATAGACCATCTTTACTAAAGACAATATAAAAAGACTAATTTGTTCATTGTGAAGCATGCTAGTGGAAAAGAAATAGTAATTTTAGTTTGTAGAAACTGCTGCAGAGGATATAGTCTTCCCTTAAAGCTCCATTTTATGTTCCCATTAGCCTGGAATCAGCCAGAAAAGAGTGAAAGAGCTTCCCAGCCCCACTGTAGATCTGTAGTCTAGATACATTTACAAAGTATTTTCTCAATGTTCCCCTTATAATGAGATGGACTTACCCCGAGAACAGTGGCTTCTTTTGGCAGCCCACTCTGCTGGTAATCTTCTTTTTGGTATGTGTGTCCAGGTTTCTGTCTTTCAGGGATAGTGATGCCCTTTGGTGTAAAGATGTCAAAAGCCCTCATGGTTTGGGATTGTAACAGCATGATGCTGATGATGCTGGAAAGGCATCAAACTATGTTACTTCCCAGGGTTTGACTTATAGTCATAAGCTTCCCAGGGATCATGCATTGTAGGAACTTAGGTTTTTTGCCATTACTCAAAGGCCAGTTGTCCTTTAGAAACAAAACAAAACATGGGGATCGATGGAGCATTATAAAATGAACATTCTGGGCACAGTTCATCCATTGTGGTCAAGAGGCATGTCACTGGGAGAGAACTGCACACATTTTGAGGGTTCCCACAATTGAGAAGTGAGCAAATCACATAGAACTTGCTTTGCAGCCCTGAATGTGTCCATCTCACTCTCCCTCCAATGACCCCTGTTTCCAGCTTCTTTTCCCTATCTCCTGTGTCTCTGCTTCACCTGTGCTACCTTCCCATACCACCTCTTCCAGAATTACACTTTTGTTCTACACTTGCACTGATCAGTATTCTACTCCAGTCTTCATTTTATCTTCATAAAAATGTTGGGGGTGAGCTGGGTGCAATAGCTCACGCCTGTAATCCCAGCACTTTGGGAGGCCGAGGCAGGTGGATCACCTGAGGTCAGGAGTTTGAGACCAGCCTGACCAACATGGAGAAACCCTGTCTCTACTAAAAATACAAAAAAATTAGCCAGGTGTGGGGTGCATGCCTGTAATCACAGCTACTTGGGAGAGTGAGGCTGGAGAATCACTTGAACCCAGGAGGCAGAGGTTGCGGTGAGCCGAGATCATGCCACTGCACTCCAGCCTGGTGCCTGGTGACAGAGCAAGACTCTGTCTCAAAAAACAAACAAACAAACAAACAACAACAACAAAAAACTCTGTCTCAAAAAACAAAAAAAAATGTTGGGGATGAATGCTGTTCCACTTTCCTTTCCTGTAGCAAGATGGCCTGTCCCATCCTAAATCTTCCTCCTTGCTTACATTGGCTTAGTAATTAGTAACGTAAACATTTATTTAACTTCTGCTGACTTCCGGGAATTAGACCATTGCAACTCTAATCCTTATAACAACGCTGTCACTTACATGTCATTAAATCAATTTTATACATTAGAAACCTAGGGCTGAAAAGTTCAAGTGATTTTCATGGAATAAAACAGTCACATAAAGCACTCAGCCTGGCACACAGAATGTGTTCAATATGTGATAGCAAATATTAACAGCCTGTGTTTACATGACTGGATTGAGACTTATCTGGCTCAGAGGCTTGTGATATTTTTCTCTATGCCATGTCAATTCTCCTCAACTTCCTCTTGCTTCCTCTCTTCCTTCCTCACATTTCCAGTTCCCTTGTAGATTCCAGGAGCAAGTTGTCTGCCACCACCAACTCAGCAGCATTGCTGGGCCTCTGTGGTGTCAGAAGCAGGGCTCAGCCCCTGAAATGTTGCCCAGATTTGTTTTCAGCTCAGCATTCTCCCTTCTGAAGGCCAGAGTTTAGTTAAAGACTTGTGATCCTTGAAAGGTGCCACAGCTCTGCTGCCTGACGTTTTGCTTCAATGTGTTGGTGCTTTAGGAATGGTTCTGGGGTCTCTTGGGAGAAGTGGACAACATGTAAAGATTCGAAATGACACCTAGAATCTCTTTACTAGTGAGGGAGATGGAAAAGTGCACTGGGATGGGAATCCAATGCCTCGGTGTCTAGTTGCACATCTGAGCATGTGACTTGGAGTCCAGTCCTGTGTTCAGCTCCCATATCCACCAATGAATGCTAAACTCACCCTGGGCAAGGTATTTTACCACTTCACAGATTTATGGCATGGGTTACATAAGACGGCACATACAACGGGCTCAACATAGAGTGAGGCATGTGATAAACTCACAAAACATATCAGTTATCTCCAATATTCATGGGAAGCTCAGCTCTGATATTGATGAGCTGGCCGTGGATAGGACATTTCCCTTTATTCATCCTCAGTTTCCTTATCTGTAAAATAGGGATAATGGCACTATCATGAAGGTCTCTTGTGAGGATTTGAATGACATATGTTGAGTGCCTTTTGTTGTAACTCTCTGAGTTTTATCAGGTGTTCCATAACGTCAATGTTGGGACCTCTATTTTATTTCTCCTCCTAGATCTGTGCCTTTCTCATGCTCTCTGATAAGCACCAAGTAGCTTCTCTGAAGAATTATTAAACCTAAAGTTCTCTTTGTTTAAGGAGATAATTTTTATTTCTTGGAATTTGGAAATTTGGGTAGAAGTATGGGTGAGGTTACATGTCCTATGAAAGGAATCATGTTGATACTAAATCCCTGCAGTGGAGCCAGGGTGAGCCTTCCAAATAGTATATTTAAATAAATGGATGTCTTTAGATTCATTTAACTAGCACATCTTTAAAGCCAGAGAAGTAGAAAAAGTCTCAATCTTAGCAAGATTCTAGGTTTCAGAATCAAATAGTAGTTCTGATAAAATGATAATCATTGCTAACATTGATTAAGCATGAACTGTGAATGCGGAAAATGATAATCACTGCTAACATCGATTGGGCATGAACTACGCATGTGACATTCTATTAAGAGCGTTGTGACGTTCTCATTTATTCTGTACAACGACTCTCAGAGATGAGTGCTGTTGTTACTTGAACCCTGAAGATCAGAAAAATGAGGCTTGGAGCAATGAAATAGCTTGCATAAGATTGCTTACCTAGCAGGTAGTGGAGGCAAGATTTGGGCATGGGCCATCTATCACCAGAGTTCTTGTATATCCCTGTAAGTCTGTGCTTGCCCAGCTAGCTACATCTGATTCTTATCCTCTCTGTTCTTCCTCCCTTATTGTTGAAGCATTGGCTGCCGCTCATCAGTTCCATATCCTCCCCCAGGAACGTCGCTAATCTTAGGGAATAGAGGTTGAAGATTTCTATTTCCTGAATTGTTTTCATGTTATAGAACTTGGCTTCTACCTTGCCCCTTGTGGTTCAGTAGCCCAAATGTGCCACCTAGACTCCTTCCTCTAGCCTTCATGACCAGCCTCTTTAGCTCTGGTTTCCTGTCTTTATTTTTTAGATCTCATAATTTTTATTTTTTGGCATCTGTGTTTTTTTTTCCCCCCATTTATTTATTTTATTGCATTTTAGGGGTACATGTGAAGAACATGCAAAATTGTTGCAAAGGAACACACGTGGCAGTGTGATTTGCTGCCTTCCTCCCCATCACCTACATCTGGCATTTCTCCCCTTGCTATCTCTCCCCAGCTTCCCACCCCCCACCGCCCCTCCCCTATTTCCCCCCAACTGACCCCAGTGTGTAGTGCTCCCCTCCCTGTGTCCATGTGTTCTCATTGTTCAACACCCGCCTATGAGTGAGAACATGCGGTGTTTGATCTTCTGCTCTTCTGTCAGTTTGCAGAAAATGCTTGATTCTCAGCTTGAAGCTCAGACTTTAAAGTTTAATTGATACTTTCAGACTATAGCCTATCTATCTGATACCATGAACATTTATTTTCCTTTGTTATTTCTTTCTTTCTTCCTTTCATTTTTTTTGAGACAGAGTCTCGCTTTGTCACCAAGGCTGGAGTGCAGTGGCTCAGTCTTGGCTCACTGCAACCTCCACATCCCAGCTCAAGCGGTTCTCCTGCCTCAGCCACCCGAGTAGCTGGGACCACAGGCGCATGCCACCACACCTGGCTAATTTTTGTATTTTTAATAGAGACGGCATTTCACCATGTTGGTCAGACTGGTCTCAAACTCCTGATCTCATGATCTGCCTGCCTTGGCCTCCCAAAGTGCTGGGATTACAGGCATGATCCTTTATTATTTCTTAACTGTTTGTTCTCTTTGAAAGAGTGCATAAACCATTCAGGACATAGGTATAGGCAAGGACTTCATGACTAAAACACAAAAAGCATTGGTAGCAAAAGCCAAAATAGACAAATGGGATCTAATTAAACTCCAGAGTTTCTGTACAGCAAAAGAAACAATCATTAGAGTGAACTGGCAATCAACAGAATGGGAAAAATTTTTTGCAATCTACCTATCTGACGAAGGGCTAATATTCAGAAACTACAAAGAACTAAAACAGATTTACAAGAAAAAAAAAAAAAACCCAAACAAACCCATTCAAAAGTGGGCATATGAGCAGACACTTTTCAAAAGAGGACATATGTGAGGCCAATAAATATGTGAAAAAGTGCTCATCATCACTGGTCATTAGAGAAATGCAAATCAAAACCACATTGAGATACTATCTCATGCCCATTAGAATGGCGATCATTAAACAATCTGGAGACAACAGATGCTGGAGAGAATGTGGAGAAATAGGAACACTTTTACATTGTTGGTGGGAGTGTAAATTAGTTCAACCATTATGGAAGACAATGTGGCCATTCCTCAAGGACCTAGAAATAGAAATACCATTTGACCCAGCAATCCCATTACTGGGTATATACCCAGAGGATTATAAATAATTCTATTATAAGGACACATGTACATGTATGTTCATTGTGGCACTGTTTATGACAGCAAAGACCTGGAACCAACCCAAATGTCCATCAATGATAGACTGGATGAGGAAAATGTGGCACATATATACCATGGAATACTATGCAGCCATAAAAATGATCAGTTCTTGTCCTTTGTTGGGACATGGATGAATCTGGAAACCATTATTCTCAGCAAACTGACGCAAGAACAGAAAATCAAACACCACATGTTCTCACTCATAGGCAGGTGTTGAACAATGAGAACACATGGACACAGGGAGGGGAGCATCACACACTGGGGTATTGGGGGCGGTGGGGAGGGACAGCAGGCTGTGGGGAGGTTGGGGAGGGATAACATGGGGAGAAATGCCAAATATAGGTGACAGGGGGATGGAGGTAGCAAACCACCTTGCCATATATGTACCTATGAAACAACTCTGCAAGATCTGCACCTATACCCCAGAACCTAAAGTACAACAAAAATAAAATAAAAAGTGAATAAAGTACTACCATTACAAGGGAATAAAATATTAAGAAAACAGATAAGCTCCTCAACTGCCACCCGATTACTCGTTTCATACGCATATATTCTTTACATTCTCTCTTCCCCTCTGTCACTTTGTCTCTCTCCTCTTTATATACATTCACAGACATTCATAACTCTACAGAAATAGTCATTCTATCCATGCCATCTATAACTGTTCTTTTCGCACTTAACATTATTCTGCAGACATCTTTGACTAAGAAATAGAAATAATAAAAATACTACATTTAAAAGCAAATGATAAATTCTGATACATGCCACAACATGGATGAACCTTGAAGACAACATGGCAAGTAAAATAATCCAGTCACAAAAGGACAAAGATTACATGATTCTACTTATTTGAGGCACCTGCAATAGTCAGATGCACAGAAAGTAGAATTGTGGTTGCCAGGGTCTGCGGAGAGAGGGGAATGGAAAGCTATTGTTTAATGGCCATGGAGTTCCAGTTTGGGAAGACAAGAAAGTTCTGGAGTTGGGTGGTGGTAATGGTTGCACAATGGTGTGAAAGTACTTAATGCCACCGAATGGTACACTTGAAAGTGATTAAAAGGCTACAACTATTTTAAGTATATTTTACTACAATAGAAAAGCCAAACGGTATATTTACATAAATGGATGTCTCTAGATTCATTTAACCAATCACATATTCATGACTATTTAGGTGATTTCTATTTTTTCTTTTTGCCACTATGAACAATGCCATAATGAACATCTTTGCGCTTTTGTGATGCCTCCTGCATTTAATTATCTCGGAGTGACATATGGAAGTGCATGCATTACATTTAAAGCTATGATACTTAAATTTTGACACACGTTGCTACTTTTAGGAGGATCCTATATAACCAAGATTCTTTATGTTTCACAAGAAGTCTCCAGGCTGATGCTATCATCTCCAAACACCACAGGCTGAGAGGATGCTTTGTCCTTCCACATTTGCTTTGTGGAGATAGACAGGCGGGACCCACAACTTCCAAGATGGCTCTAAAATCCTTGCTTTGAAGATAAATCATGGCATGGAGGTCAACAGCTCTGCCCAGCAATTTTCTGTATTACAGAATTAGAGTAGGACAACGGGGTTCTAATGCAGGATTCAGCCTAATTGCACAGTATTTGTTGAGAGTATACTCTGTGTAAGACTGAGTGACACACCAGGAGAATGAAGAGCATTGCAGAAAGTGACCTCAAATCTTCAGGGAAACCTAAGAATTGTTACCTAACTTTCTTATTTGGCATGTGAGTCAACTGAGACCCCAAAAGGAGACAAACCTGATGCTCCAACTCACTCAGGTTGTCAGATTCAGAGACAGGATGATAACCCAATTCCCCGGCTGTCTTTTCAGAAGCACATAATCTCCCCCAAAAGTCATGATCTAAACCAAGGTGCCTACCTGTTCTCACAGCCTGCTCCCTTGTGCTGTGGCTGGTGGGTCAGTTCACCTCTGTGGAGCGCTCGCTCAGCTGGATCCTCCCACTGGCTGTTCCTGCAGACAGATCTGGCCGCTCTGCTCTCCTGCTTCTGAGACTTCCTGTCCCTTTCTCAGTGCAGTATTTATGATTACACAGGATATGAATTTGCTGTAGTTACAGACAGTTGCTATATAAAAAGCATCTCTGTTTCCTCTTTCTAAATTCTGAGGTTTGGAAAAATGACACAAGATAGAAGTGACACATGAGAAAAAGAACCATGTGCAGACTAGTGATTTGTGCAGTCCCAGTTAGAATTAATTTTCACTACTTCTACATAGAGTTACGTAAGTCATCTAGTTTTGCTTACCTGAGTTTCTTGTCTACTAAATGAAGAATGGATAATAATAATTCCACTTTGTGGCTGTTGGGAGAATTAAAGAAAAAAGATGTAAAGAGTTTTCAAAAAGTAGACAATAAATATTGATAATAGTAATGTTAAGTTTGAATTTTGGAGAATTTATTTATTCTCTCACTTTCCAGGCTCTTGGTAAACTGAAAGCAGCCTATGGAAAATTCAGTGCCTCCTTGTTACTTCTTTTGGGTGTCTTCATTCTCTGTCTTTGGCCTCATGCTCAGAGAAGTCTAGGCACATCTTGGGAAAGATGCCAGTGGATTGGAGTCAGAGGCAAAGCCATCCGCCTCCAAACAAGCTCATATTTGGGAAGTATTTGTTGTTGAGGGGATACTGTTGCCACTTTCACATGCCTTTTAAGGCTTCTTGTAGAACAGCCACTGCTCAGAAGGGGAGGGTTTAAGATGGCCCTGGGATGTGCAGCAGCTGGTGACACATGGTCCATATGTGTTGTCTCAATTTCCTGAAGGGTAGCAAGGCTGTCTCCTAAGAGAGGAACAAACCTAAACCAGGGAGGTTTAAATAACTGATAAAGTACTTGGAGAGTATTTTATTCCAGTCCTTGTATTCTCCAAATGAGGTGATACTGCTGAAGGAATCTGCCCCAACTCATTGAGGTCTGGGCTTCCTTCACGGCAGCAGTCTGCCATTTGGTTGACATCTTTTTTTTTTTTTTTTTTTTTTGAGATGGAGTTTCACTCTTGTTGCCCAGGCTGGAGTGCAATGGTGCAATCTTGGCTCACTGTAACCTCCACGTCCCAGGTTCAAGTGATTCTCCTGCCTCAGCACCACAAATAGCTAACTGCAGGTGCCCACCACTATGCTTGGCTAATTTTTGTATTTTTAGTAAAGATGGGATTTCACCATGTTGGTCAGGCTGGTCTTGAACTCCTAACCTCAGGTGATCCACCCACCTCAGCCTCCCAAAGTGCTGGGATTACAGATGTGAGCCACTGCGTCCAGCTTGGTCAACATCTTAACACCCACAACCAACATTGTCTTTGCTTAAGAAAGCTTCCACAGTCCAGACCTTCCTCTGGGTGTATGACCTGCTTTGACCAGACTGTCAAAGAACCTTAGTCATTTGCGCTTCTCTCACACTTCTTCTGAGCCTGAGAAGACGTTTGTGAGAAAATCTGTTAAATATTCAGTTCGTTTTCTCATAAATAAAATTTGAAAAAAGATTTTTCAGAGTTGTTGTGAGGATTAAGTGAAATAACATAAAAGCGCCCACCATAGATCCTAGCAGGTATTAACCATTGAGAAAATCTGCTATTTCTTGTCCAACATCTTTTCCCATCCTCTTTAGAGAAAAGTGCATTTTTTCTCTGGCCTGATCTCTGATCTCTAAGAGTAATGTATGTTTACTTAAACTCATGCTCCTGCCCATTGACGGGAATCTCCTCAGCCCTTTGCAAACAGTCCTGGTGCTCTAGACAGGCAAGTGACTCACAGTGCTAGCCTACTTCAAGGGTACACTCTCCCCACAATCACCAAGCAGACCATGAAGCTAGTAAAGTAGAAGTGTGTCTCATATCTCAGAGTACTCTGCCAGCCTTGGACAGAAGTAACTGTATGTTTTTCCCTATCAGTGGAGATGACTGGCTGGGGCTAGGGCACAAGGTCTGGTTGTCCAGAGAGAGATTCCCTGGAGCAGCAATACAGATCTCCTTGGCGTCTGACTTGGTTACTGGCTGCACTCACAGAATTATCTTCCTGTCTCTTAGAATCTCATATAGCATGTCAGCAGAATGAGAGGGAAAGGATTTTTTTCCTGCAACTTCAGCATTTTATAGGTGGGGGAAGCTAAAGGCCAGAAGTTGCTTAGGGAGTTTGTAGTGACTGGGGTGGTGGTCAATTCATGCAGTTTCTGTCTCTACAATGTTTAATTGTTTTCTTCATGCCTTTGCAGTTCTTTAACACACAGGCAATGACTCTTTCTGGCAAATACTCTCTGCTAAAATAACAGAAGGTTTCTGTCTTTTGGCTGATAACCTAAATTTCAGAGAGGTTAAGTAGCTTACCCCAAGTCACACCACCTAGTAATTAGCGAAGCCTAGATTTGAATCCAAGTAATCTTAATTCAGAGGCTGTGCTCTTAAGTGCAATATTATTACTTTCAGTAACTTACTTTACTGGTCATCTGGACTTGAACAGTAAACCCCCAAATCTGGTGTGAGACCCTTCCTTCCAAGTGAAAAATGAACAAATGGTTATTTCCTGGTGCCCTTGATGTCAGAGTAAACCAGGATTGCTAGGACTGACCATTCAGTGATGATGAATACAGCAAAAGAATGCAATTGTCTCAGATGGGGATGAGGCTGAGCATCTCTGGCTTTGTGTAACTGGAGGCTACACAGGACAATGGAAGTGATGGGATGACTAAGCACGGGGAGTCTCTTTCTACACCATCCTCAGCATCTCTGCCAGGTTTCTGCCTTTCTTGGTCTCTGCCTCTGCTGATGTTGCCATGCACAGAGCAGGCCTCTCATGGTACTTCACAGAAAATACCCTTACTGAAGAGGTGTAGGGCACAGCATTCCTTTAAAAAATTCCACATGAAGAATATTCCTCACTTTTCATTGAAATACCATAGTTTCAGTGCCTTTTCTGTGCCAGGCTGTGTTCTAGGTGCTTGAATTGTATCCATGAACAAAACAGACAAAATCACCTTCCTTTGTGGGGTTTACATTCTCCTGGAATGTTAAAATAGAACAGCAAGGAAGCATACTACATAATCCTAGTAGTAAGCCTAGCAAGAAGATGAATAGACCAATGGAACAGAACTGATTCTAAGAATAGCATTTTAAATGGCTCTCATGGGGTGAATAAGCTTTAACATACTGAAATGAAGGGAGTTTTCCCTTATCCCCCTCTCAGGATGTGCAATGGGGACATGGCTCACTTCTTTGGTGCCCCACAGCTCATACCCCTAAGGAAGCATGCAGACGGGCAGGTTGTAGGGAGTGTAGGCTCTGACTCCATGGCAGCATCCAGGGTTGAGTGTTCACAGCTCCTGAAGCCCAAGTGGGCGTGTGTTACCATGTGCCCTTTCAGCTTAGCTTTTTGCAGGTAACTTGTTTTAATCCGCTCAATTAGACCCTCTGCCTTATCACAAGGACAGAGATCTTTCTGTATCCTAGGGTCCTTGCCCTGGTGTGCAAGAAAAATCAGATCACATGTGGGCTTGGAGAATGAGTACCAACAGGTGGATGGGGAGCCAGAAGTGGGATGGACTGGGAAGGTGGTCTTCCCCTGGTGTCTGACCACTCAGCAGCCTGGCTGTCCTCCAACCATCCTCGGCCAAATTTCCTTTGGCATTAGCTTCATTTCGCCAATTCTATCAATGGTCTGCCAGCATCTTTTGGTGTGTTCTGTTGGTATGTTCTTCTGCCAGTGTGTTCCTCTTCATGTCCAGCCACTTGTATGTGTATGCCTACTAGGGTCTCAGGGTTTTTATAGGCACAGGAGGAGTGGGGGCATGGCCAGCTTGGAAATGCAACATTTGGGCATGAAAACAGGAGTGCCTGTTCTTACCTAGGTTCATGGGCACAAGCCCGAAGGGTGGACCCTTACCAGGGGCCTGACCCTTCTCTACCCAGCACTTCCCCACCCCTCTCCTATATCAATATGTTGATGGATTTATTTAAAAATTTGTTGCCTAGCCTAGTGTGAAAATCCTGAAGCTTTTCCTGAATATCAGTCTGAAGATGCAAATGATAGACAGTTAATGCTTGTAAGACACCTAGCTGTGGAGGCATGCTTAACCCAAATCATGAATTTTGCACACTGATCCTCAAAGGCCCATCTAAGAATGGTTACAGTGGCACATGAGAGAAAAAAGGAGAAAAACAGCAATAAAAAGGGCAAAGACAAAGATAACTATTATGTGTTTAGGGGTTCAGAAAACAATACCCCAAAATGAATGCCTCAGAAGCAGAAGTTTTTCTCTGACCTTCTTGGACCTTCATGTCTCTCAGTCTTATTTTCCTCTGAGGCTAGCTGTAGAAACAAGAATCCTCCCCAAGGTGGGTCATAGAAACCAGAACCCCTCTCCCCAAAGCCAGCCATAGAACCTAAACGTATTACCCTAACTCTCATTCCACTCTATCTGTGTAAAAACTGGCCATACAGAAATCATCTGAACTACTTTGTTTAAATGTAGGTCATAAGATGCTCATTCCAGGGATCATCCTGTCCCACCCCCAAAAGGAAGGAATGAAGCACAGAGAGGCCAAAAACAACAACAACAACAAAACAAAACTAGAAAGACAGGCCTTGCTGGGTTTCTCACTCAGTCTATTAGCATTAGATTATATCCAGTCATATTTCTACAGGGCTGCCCTTACTTTGTTGAACCTAAGCCTACAAATGGACAATTTCCCCTGTATTTTTTGGGTCTTCATTCTGAAGGCCCTCATGTCTATATGTTGAATAATTTTTATGCCTTTTCTCTAGTTAATCTGCCTTTTGCAAGTTGACTTTCCAGGGAAACTTCAGAGGGCCAAGGGCAAAGCTCCCTCTTAACCCCTACAGTATTCTTGCCATTTTCAAATGAAGTCATCCTCCTTTATAAGGAGCAAGACATTGCCACGCTTGAAATTTCAGCAAGGATAAATCGTGATCATACAAACATTTTGACAATGAATGATGCTCAAAGGACAGTTGAAGAGTAGGTGAATATCCTGTTTTAGTTCTCAGAAGGAAAAAAGAGGGTACTATGGACTCTTTTGACAAGGAAATTGTTGCAGAATCAGAAAAACTGGAATATAAAAGC